CTCATCTAGCATCCTTTAAATTTGAATTAGTTGAAACCTTTCACCCATATGAAAATTGCCTACCAACTTACTCTGGATAGAAACCAGCAGACCACAAATTCATTTTCAACAGACATTGTAGCACCTGTAATTGCCAATCAGAACTACGTTCTCAGCTGAGCCTAGAATCCTCTCTGACTTCATTGTGTCTTCCTGTAGGACACCTGTATGTAAGATCCTCCTTCTCTAATGAGAAGCTAAACCAAATCCTGTTTCTGTTTTTTTGTGAGATATTTGTGATGTTATCCTTTTCATAGCTTGTGTTGTAATAGCTTGATTGGTCAGATACTTTTGGCTGCAAAGTTATAGGTTTCTTTTTGGTATTCTAAGTTGCTGCAGTATATGCTTGCCTGAATATTGTTCTCGCACAACTCCTCTTGTGGGAGGTTGGGTTGTTATTTTAATAATGGAGCACTTGGTTAATGTGAGTTGTTTTTTTGATACTTACATGTTTAATTTGCCATCATTTCCTCTGCTGATGGGGATATCCAGAAAAGATAGTGTTATTGTTTTCTTCTTCACTTGTGAATTATATTTCTTTGAAGATACTGATTGTTTCATCATAGTGATCTTTGATTTGGAGGACAAGGTCTTGCATTTGACATTTGGATACCATTAAGCTATTCACATGTAACGCATGAACTATACTATTTACTACTATATACTAATCTTTCATAGCTCTCTTTAGGCTAGAGAATTAGGAAAATAATTTTAATAGCCAGTTTGGTCCAATGATTAAGGTGCTAGTCTAAAAACCAGGAGATTGTGAGTTCTAGGCCTGCCTTAACCATGAAAGCTGGCTTGGTGACTTTAGACCAATTATTCTCTCTCACACAAACCCAGATAAAGAGAGAGAGAGAGAGAGAGAGAGAGAGAGAGAGAGAGAGAGAGAGAGAGAGAGAGAGAGAGAGAGAACTGCACAGTCATCAGCAAAGAGGGTTTCTTGAAAGACTGTATGGAGGCATTTTGTCTGTGCATTCAAACAGCAAAGGTCAAAGACGGAGATATCCAATCAGTACCTGATGTACACAACCTCTTTCAAACCCTGAACAGCACATGACAACATGCAACATGCAAGAACAAATTGAACAGGACCAGGTCTAGCTCACAACCCTGTTTTACCCAATTGGAAATAGCAAACGCAGCCTGTGTATCTCTGTTGTAAAGAACCTGTCCTGTCATACCATTGTGGATTAGTTGAATCAACTGGATGAATTTACCCAGGCATCCATGACATCTCAGAATGATCCAGAGAGCCCCTCTGTTTATAGTGTCAAGTGCCTTTGTCAGTTCAATGAAGACAGAGTAAAGAAGCTTGTTCTGCTCAATGCCCTTCTCCTGGACTTGCCTTATGGCAAATATCATATCTGCTATACTCCATTCTGGCCAAAAGCCACAATGCGCCTCCAGGAGGTTCCTTTCCAAGACAGTGACAAGTCTGTTCAGGAGAATGTGGGCAAAGATCTTGCCTGCGATGGACAGCAGTGATACACCACTGTAGTTTCTGCAATCTGATTTGCTTCCCCTTCCCCCCCTTTTTTACAGAGAGCCACAATGAGAGTATCATGGAAGTCCTCCATCATCTCCCCTATCAACCAAATGTTTTCCAAGATATCTTGGAAAGGCTGCAAGGCATTTTGGTCTAGTGCATTGTTGATCTCAGAAGGAATAGCATTCTGTCCTGTTGTTTTGAGCTCATCTGCGAGATAACTTTCTTGATCTCATGAGGAGAGGAAGGCAGGTAGCTCTTTTGTAAGAATTCCACATTGATCCACTGGACCCTCCAAAGTTGGGAGTCCCTGTATTATCAATAATATCTGCATTTAAAAGGATGCTTATGTAACTTGGTTATATTTAATACTTATGCCTTTTTATGTTTAATACTTGCTATTTTTGTGTGCTTTCATGGCGAGTAACAAATCACACTTGGGGTTTCTTTTGTGCCCTAAAAGGTGATACAGTTTTGCAAGTATTAGCATATTCTAGTAGCTATAGTTACATTTGGACGAGGGGATAGATGGGGAACTCATCAAATTTGCAGATGACATCAAGCTGGCAGGAATAGCCAACACTCCAGAAGACAAGCTTAAGATACAGAAGGTTCTGGACAAACTTGAACACTGGGCACTATCTAACAAAATGAAATTCAATGGTGAAAAAAGCAAGGTTCTACATTTAGGCAAGAAAAACCAAATGCACAGGTATAGTATAGGGGGTACCTTGCTCAATAGTAGTAACTGTGAGAGGGACCTCGGAGTCCTAGTGGACAATCACCTAAATATGAGCCAGCAGTGTGCTGCAGCTGCCAAAAAGGCTAACACAGTGCTAAGCTGCATTAACAGAGGGATAAAATCAAGATCACGTGAAGTGTTAATACCACTTTACAATGCCTTGGTAAGGCCACACTTGAAATACTGCATCCAGTTTTGGTCACCGCGATGTAAAAAAGATGTTGAGACTCTAGAAAGAGTACAGAGAAGAGCAACAAAGATGATTAGGGGACTGGAGGCTAAAGCATATAAGGAATGGCTGCTGAAATTTGGTATATCTAGTTTAATGAAGAGAAGGACGAGGGGGGGACATGAGATCTATGTTCCAATTTCTCAGGGGCTGCCACAAAGAAGAGGGAGTCAAGCTATTTTCCAAGGCGCCAGAAGGCAGGACAAGAAGCAACAGGTGGAAACTAAGCAAGGAGAGAAGCAACCTAGAACTAAGGAGAAACTTCCTGACAGTTAGAACAATTAACCAGTGGAACAACCTGCCTCCAGAAGCGTTGAATGCTCCAACACTGGAAGTTTTTAAGAAGAGACTGGACAGCCATTTGTCCGAAATGGTATAGGGTTTCCTGCTGATGGGGTTGGACTAGATGACCTCCAAGGTACCTTCCAACTTTATTATTATTATTATTATTATTATTATTATTATTATTATTATTATTATTATTATTTAGAGTTGGCCAGTACAGTTGTATCATATTTTTAAAATGTGTGTCAGAAATCTATTCAAAACAAGGCAATTACATTACATTAATTACATGAGAAAAATAATCTTGACTCACAAAATTAGAGCTGAAGTGAAAACCTTTTTCTCTTTATATTGTATGATTTTTTATAAGAATTGTCTCAATGTTTCTAGAACTCATCTGATTTTTTATTTATTTAGAACGTCATGATACTCCCACCTATTAAAATTAATTTCTTTTAACATTAATTAAGGAGAATTAAGGAGACACTTCCTGACAGTGAGGACAATTAACCCGTGGAACAGCTTGCCTCCAGAAATCGTGAGCGCTCCATCGTTAGAGAGTTTTAAGAAGAGGCTAGACAGTCACTTGTCTGAGATTGTGTAAGTTCCCCTGCTTAAGCAGAGGGCTGGACAAGAAGACCGCCAAGGTCCCTTCCAGCTCTAATCTATCTATATATAATGTTTTAGTAAGGAAAAGATAGTGATTCAAGTGACACAGTTAACCAAAGATTTATTTTTTACAGGAAGATGGAATTTTTTAAATAAGCAAACTGCAACTTGAATATGGCCTGGTGTTTTTTAAATCTGATTATTTAGTCCCCAGCTTTGAATTAATATCTTTCTTGCAGATTTACAAAAGTTTTTATTAGTCTAACAATTTGGAGACAAGAGCAAATTAGTTGTATCCACTGAGCTATTCTGTTGAAATGGTTCTCTAGAGAGGGATCTAAACATTTTTTCTCTCTTCTTGCTTGTTATTCCATTAAGCCAAAGACCTTGTTTACACTCTTGACATAAAACACAGATGGCAAAAATACATAGAAAGATGTAGGCATCTGAATATTGCCAAGACCAATTTGTGAATAGTGTACAAATTAGCAGCAACCTGTGGTTTTGAGTTGGTGTCACTATTTGGGTGACCGCTGAATGTCTGAAGTGAAACGAAGTTGACACTTTTCCCAATGTACTCAGGTATGGATGCCTCTAGCTCTATTGTTTGCAATAACCAAAAGTTGTTTCCTATGATCAGATCAGTTCCGTCTCTTTTAGCTTCAGAAAACTACATCATTAAAAAAAGTTATGTTTTGCTGTGTTTTCAGAGTGGAGTGTGTGGTTTAAGAATGTCTGACACTATCCGTCATTAGCCACTACATATGATTTGCAATTGCAGTTTTGAGACATATCTTGAATTACAGATCTCACAGCTGAAATTCCTGACCAGTCATTTGGACTTTCTTCATCATCTCTTACTTTTTGTACCTCTGCTCTTTCTGCCTAATCACACAGGTTTTCTTGACATGGGGTTGTTTTTATGTTTTGTTACTGCAGTTCACTGAGTTATCGCAGTAAATTGAAGTATGTTTTACCCGGTATCTTATTTATTAAATTTATGTGCTGGCCATTTGTTGGCTGATGATATTCTGGACTTTGAAGATATTGTCCAATAGTTATTTTTACATCCTGTAAGAAAAGATAGTGTTAGCCCCCCCCCCAAATGTATCCTCAGTTATTTTAACTTTGTAGCTTTCTTTGTTGCCTGCCGTTCTGTTGGGAAGGGGACGCCTTTGGGGATGCTTTGCACTGTCTGCTTTAATGCCCTCACCAGGGGAAGGAATATCTCACTCTTATCTGAGAGACAGGTTGTGCTTTGAGCCAGAAGATATTGAAAGTGAGAGAGACCTTGAAGAGCCCTCCGAAAAGACCGGTTACCAAAACACGATGCCACCTGTGGATTGGCTGGGATTCAAATGAACACTGGGACACTGTGGGCAGGAGTATTGAATGCCATTTTTAATATATCGCTTTGTGGGTTTTTCCTCTCATATCTCGCCTTGATTTCCTGCTGTCACTAGCCCCTAATAAAAGTTTCCTTTTGAGAGAATGCTTGTTTCAAGAGTTCTGCTTTCTTGGGTTGGCTTAGCTGAGGTAGGTCCTTACAGATAGAGGAGGCATTTGAAGATTTAAACATATCTGAAAGGGTCTTCTTCAATTTGTAGATGGTCCCTATTCCAGCCGGGGTGTTTACAATGGGAACTGATGAGCCCATTATAAAACAAGATGGAGAAGGGCCTGGAAGGAGAGTCCACATTGGTCATTTTTTCATGGATCGCTACGAAGTCAGCAATGCAGAGTTTGAGAAGTTTGTGAATGCTACTGGCTATCTTACAGAGGTAAGTGAAAGAAGTTGGTCTTTTTGCAAAGCAGTCTGGTTTGTGTCCAGATGGAGCTTGGGAGCTGGAGATAAATGTTGCTGCATCAGAGAAATGGCTTTCCTCTTAGACACCGGAGAAAAAGAGAAGGTATTCATCGACAAACATTCCCAAATGTTATAAAATTGGCAAAAGTCTTTGGTATCCTTGGACATACTAGTAAAACCTAGCAGTGCCAGCAATTTACTTCGTATTGTCAATACATTAGAGGGACTTGATCTTTTCAGCATGATAAAACCAATTCCCTGGATATATCTCTCTTATAACAATTAGTCCAATTGTAGAATAAGAACGGACCCTGCCACAAACAAGTCTCTAAGCTCTTCATTTGGAATCTGTATCCCCTAAAGAGGTTTTGGAGCACTCGGCACAAAGGAAAAGGAAAAACCCACACAAAGACATCCACATAACTTACTGAAAGTTGCCCTTTTAGAAATGAACACTGTGTTTCTGGAGGGAAGTTTTAAAATCTACACAGAAGAAAAATACTTTTGCCTCACCCAACAAAAGAAAGAGAAACAAAGGCAACCTTATTAGTTAGTTATCAGTAGCAGCATCTTAGAGGAGCTTACTGAACAGTGTACCAACTTGTAAAGCAGGAGATACACTATTGAAGATGAAGGAGGAGATCCTTTCTGATATGTCCAACATTTATTTGCCATGGTCCTATAATAAGCAATAACAACAAGCACCACTATTGCTTGTTATAGGATCGTGCCAGATAAATGTTGGACATAGCAGAAAGGATATCCTCCTTCAACAGGTTACATTCTATCCTCAGGTCACCATTATAGAGCTATGGGAGAAATCATGACTTGGGAAACTGCTCATACGGTATATGATAGGTGACAATTTGGTTCAGATTCAGAATACAGTATCAATCCAGGATGACAGAAGATTTCATCAAGTTTACTGTGTGGACGAAACACCTCTTTGGGTCCATTTATTCCTCAATTCTCCACCTTTATCCAGGGCCAATTAGTTAGCCTTTGGTAAGCAACAGGTCTTAAACTCTTAGCAAGTGCTACATAATTTTGGCAGAAAAGTAGCATATGGAAATGTTTTACTAGTGTCTGTCAGTGTCTTTCCCATTCAGTCAACACTGCAAGGTTGCTGCTTAATGATCTGCCTTCCCCAGTGCATATTCCTCTAGATGACTTAGACTGCAACTTCTGATATTTACATGCAGTGCAGTCATTGGCTATGCTGTCTGTAGGTATAATTGTTTAACTCTGCAGTTGTGAGTGGGTGATGCAACCCATCAGTGTTCCATGAGAAGACTGAAAAAGCTATCAAAAAAGCAGTGATAAGCATGCCTTTTTTTGTAAGCTTTCTATTTATTGGATCTTTATCAATAGCAATAGTACTTAGACTTATATACCACTTTATAGTATCTTTTTAGCACCCTCTGGGCAGTTTACAATGTCAGCATATTGCCCTGAACAATCTGGGTCCTCATTTTACCAACTTAGGAAGGATGGAAGGCTGAGTCAATCTTGTGTCATGGTTCTGACAGGTGAAACTCTTCAAAAGAACTTCGAATCTTTTATTTGAGAAACAAAGTTTCGGCACTACATAGTTGAAACCAAAAACTAAATTCCCCTCCCCTGGATACAAAGTAACAAAGTACAATTCCCTCCTCCAATAAACAGTCATAAATCACATTCCCCAATTAGCTTGAAGCATGGGCTTTCTCCTCAACTCTCCAGCCCCCCAAAACGCTATCAGCTCTGGGCCCAATGTCCTTGGGTTCCCACAGCTAAGTTATTATTGTTATGACTAGCAGGACTCTCATCCCTATTCCCCCTCCCAGCATCGACTAATTCTAAAAGCAGTGGAGAAAGCATTGCATTTTGCATGTTGTCAAAGCAAGAACATCCGATGTTAGCAACGTTGACACCTTGAGCTGGTCATAATCAAACTCCTGGATGTGGGCAGAGCTAGCCTGCAGTAAAGCATTCTAACCACTGCGTCACCAGAGCTCCTTTAATTTGCCCAATAATAAGAGTTTTCTGGGCATATGACAAAGTGATTTAAATCTTTAAAAACAGTTGTTTTACAATATTTGTAATCCCCCTATTTATAGTGAACTATAGGTGGAGAACAACAAATCATGTGAAAAACCAAAGTAAAAAAAAAATCAGTGGTTAAAAAAATAATATTAAAAGCCATCAATAATTACCATAGGTATCATTAAAATGAAACTAATCTCTTCTAAAGGTGAGACACACACTAGGACAGAGCTGATTTAGTTTGTTTACAAAATTTTAGCTGAGTCAAGACCATCTGTATTTCTGGAAGAAGTGTATTCCATAAAATAGTGACTGGCACTGAACTGGCCTATCACTTGTCACTTGTCTTTAAGGAATGGGAGCTACAAAAGTCTCTCTCTTGATAACCAAATTAAATGTCATCAACAGAGGTTCAGTTTTGGCAGTGTGCTGCATACTGTAGATCGCAATGCTCAGCCATATAGGACTTTAAAGATAATAACCAGCACTTTAAATTAAGCCTAGGAACTTACAAACAACCAATCCAGCATCTTCAAAATAAGAGTTATCCTAGTCTGTTGGGGTTATCCACTTCAATTGCTGCATTTTAAATTAACTCCACACAAAATGTATCATAGCGCAACAGGATTACTATTGCCAGAATATATTGCTCCCAATAGAGCTGTAACTGATACATACTTTGGAGCTGAGGAAAGGTCTATTGTTTAAGTAGGAACTGAGAGTGAAGGAAACCCCCAAATCTCAAGCCAACTCCTTCAGGGAAACCCATGTTATTAACTTGGCTTGAAGTCTATTAACAGATAGCAAGTCTGATTTGGTGGGATTTAATCTGGGCTTGTCAATGGAGATTCTCAGTCATCCAGGTCATGGTTGTCAAAAAGATGTTTTTTTTCCCCCCAAAAAGCATTTGTTTTTCCTTTTGAAAAAAACTTTTTTGGGTTAATCTGGGCTTGTTTTTCCCCATTCATATCCTCATAGTCTCCAGCTAGCAGTACAAAAGTTCAAAACTTTATTGTTTATTAAAAGCATTAATAAAGAAGAAGAACTAGAGAACCTAAATAAAGAGCTCAGGAAAGGAGATGAAAAAAAGATCAGTGTGCATATAATTCAAGCTCTTAAAGTCAAATTAATTAGGGACCAAGTTCTAGAATGAGTTAGATAAATATAAATTTGTGATTGCAGCATTTTTATACTCCAGCAATGTGGTATTCAGTTTTGCTAATCTGTGACATATCACTCTTCTAATCTGTCTCTTAAGATGTTAGCAAATACTGTCCACAGTGTTTTTAGCAGTCAAGAGGAATCAGCAGAGAATGAAGATTCTCAGGAGGCAGGATCCTGAAGCAAATGCCAAACCCTATTTTATATTATTTCAGTGATGATGTTGAAATACGATGGGATACTGTGTCTGGCATCCCAAGCCAGTGTGCAGGAATGGGAACTAAATTTGTATACCCCTGGAAGGCAAAATCCTGGGATACGTTGACATTTAAAATATGTATCAGCCAAAAATAGTTACAATATTGATTCACCTGCCTACAATATTTAATAACAAAGGTTGTCCCAATGTGGGTTTTTTAAAAACTCAGTATTGAATACTGAATGCTGTTAAATTATTTGGAGAGTATATTGAAGTAAACTTTACTTAATTTTTAAGCTTTCGGAAATAAAGAATGGGCTTGGATTTGTTGATCAATAGGAATCAGTGCCTAATATAATTATGGCTAATGAAATTTAGTTACATTAACATGTGCTGCCATATTTTTTAATGGAGAAACTGCTGGGTAATGTTTTAGGTTAGGAATGCGTGTCTTGGTTTATGCATCCATCATAAGCTCTGTTTTCTTACATTTAGCATGTTTGGAATACATTCAGCTGAGAAATTCACTGCTATGTACATTTCAGGGCAGAACAGACCATAGTATTTCACTACAGCTGGAAGGATTATGCTGCAATTATCTTTGAAATAGTATAGATGCTGAAAATTCAGAATTTCTAATGTCAGTACATTGAATATCTTTCTGTTATATGTTGTCACTTCAAAATAGTATTGCTAGACAAAAAATAGGCAGTTCCAGAGAAGTGAATAAACTTCTTTTGTAGCAATCTTCAAATACTACTGCTTTCTAGCAATGTGAAAGACATCATCACTAGTTAGGGTATGCTTACTTCAAATGTATATGTTATTACTTATCTGTTCCTGCATCCTCTACTATTGCAGTATATGGATAGAACAGATTTAAGAGTCAATTGCTCAGACATTTGTATTATTCCAATGTGCTATTGGGAAGATAATTGCAACTTAACTGCCTGATTTGATTTATTCTTTCTTTCTTTTTTTCTTTCTTTCTTTCTTTCTTTCTTTCTTTCTTTCTTTCTTTCTTTCTTTTTTTCATTCTTTCTTCCCTCCCTCCCTCCCTCAGGCAGAAAGATTTGGTGATTCCTTTGTATTTGAAGGCATGTTGAGTGAAGAAATGAAGAAGGGAATTCATCAAGCTGTGAGTCATATATTAATATGTTTGTACCTATTACAATGATTCAAAGTTGGAAACAAACTATTGTAACCCAATAATATATTTGATTTTAAAAACACATTACCATGCTGTGTGAGACCTGCAGTAGTAAGCTTTTGACTAATTTTGAGAACAGTGTTAGTGTTGTGAAATTGTGTGTTCTAAGAGGAGATACCAGTGTAAAACCTCAGAAGTAAACAGGGTGACTTTCTGTCCTTTTTTGGCATGTTGTGGTGACCCATGTGATCTGCAATCACTACAAAGCTATATTCTTCCTTATAAATAGTAAGTGTTGTCATCTTTGTTTGACAGTCTTCACAGACTCGATGTTCAGAGGTCATAGGTATGTATGCCCACGGTACCAGTGCTGGTTTACATCCAAAGATGTGCAGTTACAACAAGGTCTACACAGAATAGAACAGAGCCTGTTCTGTACATTCATTTTGATTCCTCCCTTTTTCTCTCTTATCCAGCCTTAAACCTGCTATGTTTAATTGTAATAATTGCTTCCCAAAAATCAGCTGACAAATGGCCTGGAAACTGACTCACAAAAAGCTTTCAGAGAACCCACATTTGAAAAGACATTGAAATCTTGTGCTAATACACATCTTGCTCAGAAGAGTGTATAACATATGCAAATAGAAGCACAGATGTGGATTTTATTTTATTTTTTAATTTAATTTTATTCTATTTTATTTGTTGTGTAAAACTCTTGATCAGTATCCAAAACTGTTTCACAGTGACCCTTTAGGTGAACTTCAGAATTTCTCTGTCCAAGGAGGGATGAAGTCACTCAAAACAGGATCACTGAGAGATTATCAGCAGATGCAATAAGAATGGAGATATACAAAGACAGAGATAAAGATGGAGATAGAGAGTTAGATATCTCTCTGTATCTCTATCTTTATTCCTGTATATCTCCACTCTTATTGCAAATCTCTTTTTATCTCAGAGAGAGAGAGAGAAGAGTGGGACAATATAATATATTTTTAAAAGGTAGGAACTATTGCATTGTTGCTTTTATTGATAATAGATACCATGTTCTTTATATGTCTCTGTGTGTGTGTATATATGGATGGGTGTATATATATCTATGGCTATACATAAATCAATATATAGAGAGAGATAGAGATAGAGGCAGAGATAATTTATGGGAAGTAGAAAAAAATCCACAAACATCCTTGAAAAATTAAACTTGTATGTACAAATATGGCCAAAAGAACAGACCTTAATTCAAAAAAATAAAATGACCTTTTCAGAGACGATAATTACAAGTTTGTATGTATATGTGTCTATATAAGTATTAAATATAACAAAAATGAATCTGGAAGCAGTAGGATTCAAAAGCCAGGTTTTTGTGGATTTGAGATCTTTAAAAACTGAAACAGTAGGTATCGGAGATGCCTCCTACTCCATTTGCACTTTAGGAACATAGCAAAATATGTATGCTATGCATCTTCTGGTATTGTCAGCATCATTGGATATCCTCCTGAATTATTTCCAAAAATCAAGGGCTAGCCCCTAAAAATCAATCAGATCTTCAGAAGTCAATCTTAATTTGAGGGGGATTTGATTTTTTATCTGTTCAGTAGGGCAGTAACATAATAACTTCCAACATATGTTGGAAACATTTTTCAACTTCATTTTGGCAGTGTGTTGGAAGGTTCCAGGTGATTTAGTATTGTGGCAGATAATTAGTTGAAATTTCACTTGAGTGCTTCATCTTAACATGTTCCTTTTATGCACCCAAACGAAAATGTTATACAAGGGAGTAAAAATAACACACATTAAAGCACCATGTGTGGTTTTTTAGAGTAATTACATCCTGCAGTCTGTATGCTTTGTTGAAGACATATAATTTTTGAATAAAAAGAGAAGGAAGAAAACTTGAAAACTCTCTTAAGCCACAATATAGCCCACAATTGATGGGATGTTTGGCTATGACATGGTATATAATAGTAGTAAAGTTGGAAGGGACCTTGGAGGTCATCTAGTCCAACCCCCTGCTCGGGCAGGAAACCCTACACCATTTCGGACAAATGGCTGTCCAGTCTCTTTTTAAAAACTTCCAGTGTTGGAGCATTTACTGCTTCTGGAGGCAAGCTGTTCCACTGATTAATTGTTCTCACTGTCAGGAAGTTTCTCCTTAGTTCTAGGTTGCTTCTCTCTGTGTCTTCTGTGAAACTGTTCTTGTTTTCTACTGTTGATAATTGTGTGAAGTGATACAACTTGCCTGTATAGGGCAATACGTATTGGTTTATTTTAAATTCAGCTTTGTGGTTGGGGAAAATGCTAATTTGCTTGAGAACTGTTCGATTCCTTTCACATATGTATTGATTTCTTCATGTTTGAATTGTTGGAAATCACCATGCTCAGAAACCTGAAAAACAGTATTAAATTTCTTTCTAGATGTAATCTAAAACTAAACATGGAATTATTACTAGTAGCTATAGAAAATTCAATTTAGGTACAAGTAGTCATCAACTTACAACAGTTCGTTTGGTGACTGTTCAAAGTCACAGCAGCACTGAAAAAAGTGACTTATGACTGTTTTTCACACTTATGACCATTGCAGCATCCCCATGTTCATGTGGTCAAAATTTAGACATTTGGCAACTGACTCATATTTAGTTGTTGTATACTTATAGAATGGTAAACCTCACTTGGTTGAGATGGACAGCTATAGAAAATGAATGAATGAATGATTACAAGATTCATGTGTGCATAGGTTCATGTGCCCCTAACTTTAGACTGAACAACCCATTTTTTTATGATTGATAGTTGCCAAGAAATGCAATCTTGTGTGTGGATTGGTATTGTTAATCTCAGGAGTGTGTCTAAACTAAGATTTCACTTTCTTGGTTAGGCTGTAGTGATGTAATATCTTTTGCGACATTCTGACAAGTAAAGCCAGATTCACTTAACAACTGTGTTACTAATTTAACAACTACAATGATGACAGCTGTGGCAAGAAAGGTTGTAAAATGGGGCAAAATTTGCTTAACTATTGTCTCATTTAGCAACAGAAAGTTTGGTCTCAATTGTAAATCGAGGGCTACCTGTATAGGAGAGCATCTGTACCTATAAGTTAATGACAACATTAATTAATAAGTAATAACTTGCATAAGTTAAACAATATAGGGCAGGAATGAGTAACGTATAGAATGCTTTTGGCCTTCCATCTCCTTGTTTCAACCATCCAGCAAGGCTGACATTAGCCCTTTGAGGCTGACCAGATCAGGAAACAGATTCCACAAGAAGACTAGAATTATTCTTTACCAAGAAAGACTTTTGCAGCAGAATCTTGCAACCTGACTGGGTTTTCCCTCCCCTCTCTCTGAGGCCATTTATTCAAACATTCACGCATGCTGTCCTGCTTAGTAACAATCACATTTTTCTTACTATTTTTAGGGACATGTGTACCACACTTATTCTCACTATCCAAATCCACAGGGTCATGGTATTATACTCCCAGCCTGCGACTTGTGGAAGCTGGAACAGGAATGATGCACAATCCTGTCTGCAAAGGGGACTGATAAGAGAACAAACCACTCAAACACTCAATGGGAACAGGTTCTTTGAGAATGTGGAAATACAAAAACTGTCTAGATTAGTTAACAAAATTAAGTAGAGCTCTGTTCTGTCATTTAATATTCAGTTTACATGGACAAGTCCTGTACACCAGGTTGGCCAGGCAATAATAAGTCGGAATCAGACCTGGAGACAGAATAAAGCACTTGGACACAAAAGGGAGTATGATGGACACAGGAATGACAGATGGGAGATGAAACACTTGCTGTCTCTCCAGATGGAACTGATCCAACCTTAGCCCCTTCAGAGTTCTGGTTTTTATATCATCTGAATTGGTGGGCAGATTTCTGTTTTTAGCTTATAGCCAGTGATCCTAAATGAAATTGTCTTGGCAACCTTGGCTCTCTGCCCAGAAATTCTGTGATTACTCTTCTCTGAGTAGGTCTTTGCAGCATCACTGATGAATCCTCTCCATCTTCAAACGGTCATTTTCAAACTAAATTTTTATTGCACTGGGAGGAGCCAGTCTGAGTCTCTTTCTAATATTTTCCCAGTTTCCTGGACTCAAAGCATATTTTTGCACATCCCTACATCGTTTCTGCAGGGTAATCTCCATGGCTGCTTATAAATAAGTTAATCCCAGCATCTTAAATTGCACCCGGAAAGAAATCATCAAATGCAGAACCCACAGAATTGACTTATATACTGCCAGAACTAAAATCAGTGAGCCACTGCATTCCGAACTAGTGGCAGTCCCTGAGTAGTTTTTACGGGGAGCCCCATGTAAAATGCATTGCACTGAGTGATGATGGAGGCTTGAATTACAGTAATTAGGTTCTTCTGCACCAGGTAAATTTGCAATTGGTGCAGCATAAAGGACCCTCTGGCCATAGCCTCCAGGTAAGAACCGTGAGTCTGGAAGAAAACCCAGGTTGCAGACCTGTTCCTTCATGAGTACCGGCAGTGCTTGGCCGTCCAGATATAAAGTAGAACAGCAAGTCCACCCTCAGATTGATCTCTCTCATCTAGGCAGAGGAGAAATGTTTGTCTTTATTACAAGGATTCGCTTTGCATTCTGCTACTGTTTCCCTTCAAAGAAATTATGGTGCTTGTCTTAGAAAAAGAAAAGATCTAAATTGGAATAGGACTTATTGACAAGCCTGAAAGCATAAAGACAGGAGAATTAAACAGTGCACATAAAACCCTTGCAATGAATGTTTGGAGACTGAAAATGACAACCTACCTGCTGCGGGATGTTATGCAGGAAAAACAGTCTTTTATTTTATTTTTTTTCGTATATTTTTTTGTTTGTGTGTGTGTTCTGCTTTACTACTGTGAGTCAAATGTCAATGCTCAGAGCAGCTACTCGGGATATTATGATCCTTGCCTGAACTGGGAATTCCTCTCCCTGATGTTTGCATCAGAGGCAAGTTGGGACTGGCACCCAGCCCAAA